TAAATACTGCTCTTGCTCTGCTCTGGATCTGGATCTGGATCTGTTTAGATTTATCGGGATAAGCTGCTCGCCTGCATCTGCAAATGAGGCATTTATGTGACGCTAGTTTTGATATCCATCCCAAGCTAATAAAAGTTCGTGATAATTGCCATTTTGCATTCGTGTGCTAAGTAATGGTGCAAACATATAAACATGATTCTTTCGAAAACAAGAGATTTATAGCCTTTTTCTTCGAAAAAATTTCGAATTGGTTGATTCACATCATCAAGATTTTCATTGAAATCTCCAGCAACTAGTACCGAGCAATTATCTTTGTCAATTTCATTAGAATAATGCTCCGTTAAACCTTCCATATTATAAAAAACAAGACGAAAATGAGATTTTTTATTTATGTCGGCATACTGATATTATGTCGGAGGAATAATATAGTAGAGGAAATTGTTCGTTACGTTTTTTGCTTTCATCTTTCTCAAAATGGTTATTATATCGTTCAATACAAACTGTTTTATCCTTTTTACAACTTACACAAATCGCTTGATGTTTTAAGCCACAATGAGGACTGTCAAGTTTCACTCGTATTTTATCGACAACTGCCGTGTCTTGATGCATCATTATTTCCAGAACAGTACCAAAAGCGCTTTTTATTTTACTATTTTGTCAAATTTACAAATATTTTCAGTAACAACCAGGGCTCGAAACAGGCCGACACTTTTGAGGCCTGGTCTGCCTGTGTCAGGCCTGTAATGTTTAGATCTGCCTGGCCCTGTCGATATATTTCCTAAGCCTTGCCTGTCTGCCTGCTATTGTTCTCGGCCTACCCTGGCCTGGTCTGTAGAAGCCTGGTCATTTTTTTAATAAACAAAATGTACAAATAATAGTGATATAAGATGAAAAGAAAAGTGACAGATAATTAAACAATATATATGAGTAAAAGTTTTGGTTTTTGTTCAAGTATTTTCTGAACTGATCTAACTAACAAGATATCCTCAACCGTGTCAGAATTTAGTGATGCACGGCGTTCATTAATAACCAGGCTAGGCCGCCTAGTGTTTTCAAAGGTCTGCCTGAATCTGTTTCAGTTTAGGCCTGGTCTGCCTTAGCCTGGTGCAGGCCGAAAATTTGTAGCCTGGCCTGTCTGTAACAGGCAGACAGGCCTGGTTCGAGTCCTGGTAACAACTACTCGTGCGCCACCAGCAACTATATACTGAAGTTTAAATATTAAATTTACATGAACTGAAAATTGTAAGTTTGGATAGCTAAATAAATGCGGTACAATGGCAACAATAACATTCATCAAAACAACAATATACTGGAATAGATATAGTAGGATAGAAGATATTCTCATTACAATTCACATTTCTGATGTTTCGTACATTTATTTCATCAGAATTATGTAACTTGGCCAGTGATATCATAGTTATCGAAAGAAAGTTTCGACTATTGGAACTGAGAGAAAATGCTCGCAAACTACTCCTTCATCGCCGTTCGCCAAGTTTTAGATTTCTCGCTCGTAGATCTGTGATATTTCCTACCTCTACTACGAACCGACTTGAAGCTCTACATGTAGAAGCTTTTTCATGCGCTCTTTATTCGCCTGAGAACAATTAATTCGTAAATTTGTAACAAATAAGAGAACTTGAAATAGAAGCGTCAAAATAAGTCTAACTTCTGCCTGATTGCGAGAGCGCTACTATCCAAGCTATTTAGTCACCGTAGTGGAGCGCCGTTCACCGGAACAGGCTGTCAAGAAAAAAATTCTGACATTTTATTTCCCAGAGGATGAACATTTATCGATAAATTAGGTTTTTTAGATTTCAAAATTGCAGATTAAAGATTTGTTGTCTATAATGGCTGCGTGACGATGAGTAATCGCTCATCGCTCAGGTAAAAGTTTATTCTTCTTCATTTTGACTTCTTTTTATTGCTTTTTGCAGTAAAGCGCATACTGGGTGGGCGACCTGTCTTAAATTCATTCAGCGGCATTTATCTGTATTTCGCATAGTGAGGCATATTTAGTTCTCCAAAATTCTCCTGCAAATTGTACCTTCAAACCCATTCGCACTAATTTCTTACTTTTAATTTACATTTGTTCTCCGCTATAACTGTTGCCTGTTTTCTGCAAGAGACTTCTGTTTGTCGTAATCTTTATCCATAATTATGAAAAATAGTGTGCATCTGAATTCAACTTATCTCGTAGGATTGAGTCAGATTTTAGGGTACTTTACGCTATGAGACTAAGCTTTTCCCTTATAATAGACTAATAGCGAATACGGATAGTTCTCAGCTTTCTGGCATTTCTTTGTCATCTGTACGGTCTCTTGTGTTAACAGAACAGCAATATAAACATTATATATCAAGTGGTTTGAGCAACAGAGGTGTTTTTAAATTATTCTAGCGACACTAAATTCGCAAGAAATTTGCTTTTCTCTATTGTTATGCTGTATAAAGCGAATGACATTCTGTAGCTGATCTCGAGAAAAAAATAAGTATTATCTTTGTTTTGCTTCTTTTCAGAGTCGTTTAAGTCTTTTCATGTCAGGCACGATGCCGACTACGAATAATGCAAGCAATAAAGAAGTAAGTCAATATACTATGCGGCAAATAGCTGCTAAAAGAAAACATGTTTGTGCAATGATCGAAATAGCATTTTTTGGATTTGATTTGTCATATTCTCCAGAAAAAATTCTGAACCCGTTAGCGTATTTGTAATAGACAATATGTGTTTGTAATGTTGTGTACGCAGAAGTGAAGTAGTTGATAGCGTGAGCAATAATGTCGACTATTCCCTTTCATGCATTTTTTTAAATTGCTATTTTAAAATGGATTATCTCGTTTAATAAAATATGACTGCAGAATGCTTGATTGTGTCTACTCCATGCAATGAGTATAACTTTGCTGTTGGTCTTGGTAGCATTATATTTATGACCACATAAAAGGAGCAAAATGAAATGAAATAGGCTATTTAACATTTTACAGAGTCATGGTTGAACGATGAAAACGGTAGAATTGTATGCGATATTTGCCAAAGAAGAAAGATTAACGAGAGAACACATTCAAGCACTATATCAGGTTTTCTCGGTGTATCTACCAAAAACTATGATAGGTGGATGTCCAATGTTTGTCGATCAGGAGAAAAAAATAGATTCTAGCTTAGCTACGATTGGATGTTGGCACCTAAAAACGTCATATTTAGAATCAGTATATCTGGTTCTACCAGACATGATATATCTCATTTAAGTTATAGAGTTATACGTGGATGTGTTCCCTTGCACATAGAATTTTGTCCTAAAAAAACCTCTCCATTCTTCAGAACTTCAACCGCAAGAATAGCGAAGTTATCTAGGATGTGTAGTAGATCGTACTTGTCAGATTGTACGATAGTAATATAGAGAAATCATAAATATGCTCAAACCGTTATTATTATTATTATTATAATACACCATAGACACTTGGAATGCTACTAAGTTGTTATTAAAATTTGAAGTTATGTATAAATATATAAAAGACTTTCCTTACAACATGAAAGAAGACTAAAAAGCTAACGAAAGATTTTTTATTAATCATATATTAAAGTTTGATGAAAAAAACGCTCTTTTTTTTGTAGTTCTATAGCAAAATAAAGGAATTATCACAGTCTTTTTACCTAATATTTATTTTCAGATTTTCTCTCACAAGTTCTCTGCTTTCTTCTGTTTCTGTTAGAAATATGATGTCTGTTGTACTTACGTTAATAATATTACAGACTGCACACTTCTTTTATGCGTAAATCAACACAAATGATCGTAGTTAGAACTAAGTGTAGAGGTTGAGACACGTTTGCTTTTTTGATCTGATAACATAGTGTTTCATTTTTTTGTGAAAAAAAGTAAAGAATAGAGTAGAGAGGAAAAAAGAGATCAATCTGTTACTTTGAAAAATGTATTTTCCCAGCACATCTGTCCCTATTCTCCCAATATTTCGTGTATTAAACACACACGGCTCTATGTTCTTCTCATCATCGCCTCACCGTCTGTTGCGTATCTGTTCTGTTAAAAAAAAGAAAAACGTTGTGATGCCAAAAAAAAAGTGATAATGGAACGTTGTACCATTCAATGTTATATGATACATACATACACACGTATAAGAAAAAAGGAAAGAAGAAAAAAATGTCATTTTAAGTATATTCCAAAACTTTCACATGGTCTATATTTACTGAACAAAAGAAAATAGAAACAGTGGCGATGAGATTTTATTCCTTTCTTCATTCTAATGTTCAGTACTACAGATGAACAGAAACAAAAAAGGAGATATGGAGGAAAGAACTAGAAAGAGAAGAAAACAAAAATCTTGAAGGTCATGTGGAAAATCCAGACATGGAAGCGAAAAACTTTAGTCATTGTCAGTTTCATAAAATATGTCGAATGATTCTACTGATAATAATCTAAGTTCCTGTTTTTTGCATATAAAATCATCACAACAACAATCAAAATCATTTGTTAATAATCCAGAAGCTAATTTTCATTTTATTAATAATAAAATACAAACTGTTCCAATACCAACAAAAAAACAGACAAAGACACTTTTTAATTATATTCCAGATCCATTCGATAGTAAAAGTATTGATTTATTATCATCATCATGGCACGATAATTGTAGAGTAAAAGATAGAAATAAACCGGTATATCATGATGATATGTTATTATTAGAAAAATACAAGCAAACAGTACGTTATGAACTAATACTTTTCTTAATATGCCTACTCAGAATGATCATGAGCTAAATTTATCTGTCAGATTTCTTACAAGTACTAACAATAACCTGGAAATATTAATTTAATATTGCTGTTTCTATACTGACAGATTCAGAAAGACAAAAAAAAAGCTAGATCGATTTGTTTTTAATATAGCTTGGTAGCAGCTGTTTCGATTTTCTTTTTTTCAAGGATTTATTTTTCTTGAATGGTTAATACATTTTTTCCATTCGTTACCCACTTTTTGTTTTGTTTACCTTTGAATAAAAATATGAGTGATACACCGTCTGAGATAAGTTCAGAAAATGTAAATAAACCTTCAACGTTATCATCACCTCCTTCACCAAGTGTGGTAGCTGATGTTATTGTCGATGCTAATCATAAAGAACATTCTTCTCCAGCATCCAGAAAAAAAAAATTTATAACAGAAGAACAACATTCAAAAACGGATAAACAAACATCAAAAACGAGTAATGATGATAAGAATAAAAGACCGAATTTTGAAGTTCGAGCGATACCGGAATCGAATGCACCTCTCGGTGTATCAGTATCAAAATTTAGCAGACATATTGTGGTGAGTTTAATGTGACTTTAATAAGTGCCAAAAAATTCGATTTTTAATATCAAAATATGCTACAATCGAAAATTTGTTAATAGTGATTAAATATACTACTACTATGTTCAAAAGACGATTTTTCCGTTTCATTTTAGACATCTCAACAACGCCTATTGATCAAAGGTGGAAAAATTGTCAACGATGATACTTCATTTTTTGCCGATGTTTTTATCGAAGAAGGAATTATTCGGTAAAAGTTTTAGAAATTAAATTTTTATTTTCAATTAATCAATGAAAAAATATTTTAGACAAATTGGATCAAATCTTATTGTACCGGGTGGAACAAAAACAATCGATGCTACAGGAAAATTGGTTATGCCAGGTAGTTCTACTATTATTTATTATATATAATCAAATTTTCTACTATTTTTTTCTATTATTTAGGTGGAATTGATACTCATACGCATTTTGAACTACCATTTATGGGAACAAAAGCAGTAGATGACTTTCTCACTGGAACAAGAGCTGCAATAGCTGGAGGAACAACAACAATTCGTAAGTAATATTTGAAAACAAAAAAATATATTTAAATATTAGATCATACACATAAAATATTAGAATAGACTGAAAACATGTTGATTAAAACAAAATTTCTCACGTTTAGAAATCGTTATTTAAAATTGTTGAATACGCTCATTATTTGATAATGTTAATTCTCCAAGTTCTAATGATAAGTTTTCATAGGCATAAGGATGTTCTCGTTCATGATTGGTTGTCACTAGATTATTTTCATAAATATTATTCATATTATTGTTTGAACATGATGAAAGATAATGATGTCGTGAAGGCAATGTTTTAGCATTTAGAAGTAATTGTTTTTGTTGATGTTGTTTATCGGCATGAGAACTAATCGATTGAGAACGAATTAATGACGATGGTTGTTTTTCATCAAAAGTAAAATGTACGAAACAATAAGGATTTTCTAAAACAGTCATTGTTTGAGCATCATGTTGATCACGTTCAAGAATGGCTAATCGTTTCGATGGTGCTAACATTGTTGAATCATTACTTATTAATGATAACGGTTGTAAATGTTTAGCAATATTTTGATTTATAATTACATTATGTAATAAATTATCATCATTATCTGTATCTACAAGATGATTTTGATTATTATTATGTTGATATTTTGTTGGATGTTTATTCTTTTGATGATAATTTTGAATATGTTTACAACAATAAACAGTTGTGATTATTGATCCAACAAGAACAGCTGTACCAGCACCAACAAGAAGAATGACAAGTTCAGCCATATTTTATAAACATGATCTAAAAATATAGAAGCAAAAAAGTCTAGACAATTATTTTTTAAGAGGAAATGTATTTCCCCTTAATAATTAATTTGATTCTTTTTGATACGATGTTCAATTAATTGTTCTAGGATGTTGTTTTTATTTTCAACAATGTTGTTATCGACGACTGTGTATCATTAACTATATATTCATATTAATCGGTTAATAGAAATTCTATTTCTAATTTATGTATAGTGTGTATGTTTGAGTTAGAAAAAAGAAAAATGTTTTTTTATTTCTTCTCATATATATAAATTGTGTTGAACATTCGATTCTATTCATCTTTTGGCAATTGCGACCTAATTTTGTGTATATGTATAGAGAAGATTGCATCGTCGTACACTATATACTTATTATCTTGTTAAAAAGGAATAAAATTAGTGAAATGAACATGCTTGGATGATTTCAGTACTTGGTGCACCGGTCAGTTGGGTTAAAGAAAAAGATTTCACCTGGTTATGAGCTCGGCGGGTGAAACATGACTACGAAGCTCTTTGTCTTTTTTTCTGAAAGCACTTCTTATATAAACACTCAACAGTGTATCTTTTCAAAATAGAAAGATTTGCTTTGAAATAGTTTTTAATCATATTTACTGATATTCAAGAGATCTCTACGCTATAAATCTTTTCGTTTTGCTACCTATCGCATGAAGTGAAGTCTCGAAAAGTTCGACGTTTTTTCGGGATAAGTGCGTTCTCGTGTTTCTACCAAGGTATGCTACATAATTAAACAGAAAGAAAAACTCCCTTATCATTTGAATAGTTAGTTAATGTAATTTTGTGGATATGCGTGATCCTGCTTGCACGTGCCGTTGTCTTTTTGGTCATTTCATACACATACTAGATATATATATAAGAAAACATGATAAATTCTATTATTTCTCACTCTTTCGAACATATGTTGAGTTTTGAATCATTTATTAACACCAGACTGCCTAGTTCTGATCTAGTATGTATAGCGAAAATATGTAATCAGTAAGAATGAGAAAAAAGAAAAATGATCTCTGTACAATAAACGACGTATTAGCATGTATCTGATAGTGTAGCTGATGTTGATATTATTTCATGATGTCAAATCAGATGACCCTGACGAAAAATCGCACATTTATTCAAATGATTGTGAATAAATTATCTCTGTTTTCGAATATTTCAAAAATATGTTATAATATTTTACTATTTGCATAATAATAATATAAACTAAACAATTAATACACACACTCAGGTTTCGAATGCTGCGAATAGATCTATCTTTCGAAAAATTCTCTAGGGTACTTGAAAATAGTAATCTATTTTTCTTGTATATTGAATATCTGGTGTGAAATATATTCGTTTTAGTCCAATAGAATTGTAGACTTTCGGAAAATGATAACCACATATCAAGATAACTTACGCGATTCTCATGTACATCATTGAACTTTATTTTGTAAAACAAAAAAATATTTTTTCTGACTATCTATGGAACAAATACACTGTTAAAACAGTTTTTTTTGCTGTTGTACATCATATTCTCTCTTATGTATGTTGTGTTCATCATCAATGAACAAAACAGGTTTTTTTTTCGTTGCGTTTGTGATGTCACGACAAAAAAAAAAGAGAAGAGAAGAATCTAAGTAGCAAGCAAACTATAAACCACAGTTGCTGACTGATGATAAAATAATAAAGATATGCATCTCTCTTTCGGTCTCTCTATATGTATAACACGAACACAGTTAGTAAAACTGTGGATGTGAAATGTTGAATAGTAAAATATTGTCTGCATAGTTTAGTATATATTGATAGCAGAGAGAGAAAGAGAGTGTACAAAAAGCATCGACACATTGATAACCAATTCTCGTATATTTTGTACGTGTATATAGAAAAAAAAATCCTTGAAAAATAGGAAATCTTGAACTAAATCGCCAAATGATAATTCAGCAAGTAAATATTGTTTAGAATGAAAAAACTTGACTAACCATAAATAAGTCAGTAGTATCATATGCGCATTAGTTTAATTTTCAAACAGGAGAACACTACACTCTTTATTTTGATTGAAAAGAATAATCATCGATATTTGATATTAATCAGTAGTATACCTTTTTTCGTTTTTTGTTATTTTCTCTTCGTTATAATCCATATGTTAATTTAATTATCGTTCAATTATCATTATTAATTTGTTGTGTTTAATTACGTCATACTGCAACTTTTTTTCGTTCTCTATCTCGTCGTATTTTCTCATTATGTATAATTTTACATATCACCGTAAAAAATCTGCTAATGTTGCCACAGAATTTTTTCTTTTTGAACTTATATAAGAATGAATGATGTGGAAACAGGATCTTTCGTTACTGTCAAATAAAAATAAGAATTTTTTGCCCGAAAATGGTCTATTGTAATAGTCGTTTCGAGAATTAAACCAGTTGGGGGATTTAATTTTCAAAAACTGAAATAAAAAAAGTAGAGCTTGATAGTTTCTAGAAATTCTTGTTTATTTATTGTCAACATTTGAAAATTCTGGGATTGTGAAGCCGCTAAAAGTTTTATATCTGACAAAAACGGATGACAAAAGATACGAAATTACTAGTTTTACTGAAGCAAAAGTTTTTGCCTCAAAATTGTCATACTTTGTTTTTTTTTTATTCTAGTTGATTTCGTTATACCAGAGAAAGAACAATCGTTACTTGATGCATATAAAAACTGGCGCGAACGAGCTGATCCAAAAGTATGTTGTGATTATGGTTTACATGTTGCTATTACATCTTGGTCTGATCAAGTGGCAAAAGACATGGAAACACTTACAAAGGAAAAAGGTGAACAGGATGAGAGTGATCTTATTGTTTGAAATCTTATTCAAATTGTTATTGCTTTTTAGGTGTAAATTCATTTAAAATATTTATGGCTTATAACGGTGTATTTATGTTACATGATCATGAAATATATCAAGTATTTACAAAATGTCGAGAACTGGGAGCAATAGCCATGGTGCATGCCGAAAATGGCGAAATAATCACAGAAGTAAGTAGATGCTTAAGACATGTGTCGACGACAATTATTGGTTTGATATTCTTCAATTTTAGTTGGAAAAAGAAGTGGCCAAACTTGGAATCACGGGACCAGAAGGTCATTTGTTGAGTAGACCAGAAGAAGTATGTTAACCATTTTGTAAAGCTACTGGCTGTATTTAAAATCGTTTCTCTTCAAAACGTATAGCTTGAAGCTGAAGCCACCAACAGAGCAATTACTATTGCCGAACAGTCACGGTATGTTTTTACAAGTTTTTGGAAAATACTTGCAGTTTGAAGAATGAAAAAATCGTCTCACGACACTGGTATTTATTCCAACATTACTACTTTTTAGTTGCCCATTGTATGTCGTCCATGTAATGAGTAAATCAGCTGCTGATAAAGTTTGTGACGCAAGAAGAAAAGGTAAAATGGATCATAATTATCCATGAGCATCTTTTCTTTAACGTATCCGTCTTTTAGGTCTTGTGGTTTTTGGTGAACCCATAGCCGGTAATGCATTATTTCAGTTAATTGCACTTTTATTTGTATGAAATTACTAATATATGTGTGTTTGTTCAGCTAGTCTTGGTGCTGATGGCTCTCATTATTTTAATAAATGTTGGAGGCATGCAGCTGCTCACGTAATGTCACCACCATTGAGACCAGATACAACAACGGCATCCTATCTAATGGATCTTCTAGCAAAGTGAGTCAAAGAGAGTTATTACAAGAAAATAAGGTTAATTTATTTTCTTATGTAGTGGTTCATTGACGGCAACTGGTACTGATAATTGTACATTTAACGCAAATCAAAAAGCGTTAGGAAAAGATGATTTTCGTAAAATTCCCAATGGTGTTAATGGTGTTGAAGATCGTCTGGCTGTTATATGGACAAAAGGAGTTAATGTGGGAAAACTAGATGAAAATCAATTTGTGGCCGTTACAAGTACAAACGCAGCAAAAATATTTAATATTTATCCAAAAAAAGTAATATACCCATAGAAAATATCATTATCACGTATGCACTTGACTATTAGTATTCTCGTCAATTATACTCCTATTTGAACAGTTGGAAAAGAAGTTTACATCTTTATATATTCACGTTTACTAAGTAAAAGAATTTAACGATATTTGTTTAGGGTCATATTGGCATTGGATCTGATGCCGATATCATCTTATGGGATCCTCAAGCAACAAAAACAATTTCTGCTACAACTCACCATCAGGCATGTGATTTTAATATATTTGAAGGTTTACAATGCAAAGGATTATCCGTGCTGGCAATTGTTAATGGAAGAGTAACGTTTGAGGATGGACAAGTAATAAGATTAAATACGCGTGGATGCCATATATTATACATTTTGCCTATGTTGTTGTTATTTCAGCTCAATGCAATACAAGGATCAGGAAAATATATAGATACCCAACCAAATGCCAGTTATGTTTATCAAAGACTGAGAAAGCGAGAAGAATTAAGAGAAGAGGTAAGGTTTAAAAAAGAGTTTAATTAACTCTGAACATGCTGATAATAAAGAGAAAATCATGAAAAAGAGTCAATTGAAAGGCGAATGAAAAACCTTATATATTTATCGTGATATAAATTGATGAAGAATGAGTTTTATTTTGTTTGTCTTTTTGTGAAATTTAAAAAAATGATATTTTTCATATCTCTTTATTTTAGTCAACAAAACAACAAAAAATTGAACGTGAACCATACACAGGTGAAGTGTTTAACGTCTTAACTGCTAACAGTGGTGGGGATTCTAAAACAAATCCGAAACAATCAGCTGAACCAACTGGACCAGGATTTCATAATCGTCCACCAACAAGTGAGAAAATACAGACAAAAAATTACAAATAATTTTATATTTAATAACTTTTGTCTGTTTCAGAAGCGGGTGGTAGAAATTTATTGGATTCAAGTTTTTCACTAGCAGGTTAGATAATAGTGTTAATTGTTATATTGGAGTCTGCCTGTATT